ACCCCCCCCCCCCTCAATTTCGCAGCTGCTGACGAGGGGGAGTAATTTGTTCCTCGTCATTATCTGCGGGATACTCGAAGGGCTGCACATGCACCCCGGCTTCGTAGTACTGGGTCACCAGACCTTTTTTGAGCCTTCACCACGTTAGTAGTGTACGCTCTTTCCCGTCGTTTTGCAGCGGGTATGTCACTAATGGATCCATAGATCATATTCGATACATCAAACGAGTGAGAGTGTATCGATATCGATTGGTTCAAAACATAAACATATCCTCAAAAGTAAATTCAGAAATCTGAGAGAACGGGTCTTTTGTAACGGAGTTTTTATTCTTTTGAGTACCAAATGCCAATGCATAGTGAAATTGTCAGGAAATTTCTCATTTTCAGCTTTTCCAACTTAAATCCTTACAGTTTGGTTCGAGGTTATGTTCTATTGTTTTGAACCAAACGATACATCGAACCGTTATCGAATACGGTCTATTGGTAAAGGCCTGCACTGCTCCGTGGGAATCGGCGCCATTTTTCGTGGCGGGAAGCAATACCTAGTTTCTCAATTTTTTTTTTATCTATCATTTCTACCTTTTTTCTCCTATTTTGTCCACTTTATGGAATGCCTGTAGGCTTGTCTTTGAAAAATTAATATCTTTACATTTTAAAACTCTGCAACGTGCTTTTATTTAATGACTCTTTCAAGGATCGTTCAAATTTTTTGTCGTCGTAGTTCTAGAAAAATCTTTGGGTACAAAGTACCCCTATATTTTTCTCCATGATGACAAGACATTTCTTGTATATGTATTTATACTATATTACTCGTATTGTGAGCTCATTTACCTGCTCTTCGTAACAATTAATATTATTTGTTAAATCAGGGTCGGTTTAGTCGGTCAATTCGCAGCGACGGAGCACATGACGTCCACTTTTCAACGAACACCGCAAACGATTGAATCTGCTGCCAGGGACTTAACTGCGTTCATCCAATCAGCCAAAAACCAGCTGCAATTTTTGGTGCTGGGATCTCTCGACAAAGCTCTGGATGCGATATCTACCGATTTCGAAAGTGAGTATCAAAAGCAGATTTTTTATTCTTCTACTTATTTACCTCCTCCTCCTCCTCCTCCTCCTCCTCCTCCTTATCCTTATCCTTATCCTCCAAATGAGGGGCTTGGAGGATAAGGCACTTAAGTGCAGTTTTTGCTATATCGAGAAATACGTGTTGGTAATTTCGAAATGACATAGGTCTATATGGCAGAACTTAAGTTCATACTGACTTTCGATGCTTAAAAATTGGAATTGTGGAGTGAATTATTTCACAGAATAAGTATTTAGACTATAGTTTTACTTGATATCATTAATATCTCAATTTTTTCAAAAATTTACAATTATGCGCCCTGTCCTCTAAGTCCCTTATTTGCACTTCATTTTGCATTTAGGGGCTGCAATTTCTTGCTCATCCGTAAAAACACTATCACAAGGACAAGGTATTACTAGGAGGTCAGTCCTAATTACAAAATGCAGTCCAAATCAAGCTTATTTTGAGGGACTTGAAAATTCGAAAAAAAATACAAGTACAATCAAGGCTCTGCAAAACCTATATCGTCACCTTCCAGCCAAAGTATCACAAGCGCCATGCGACGTTTCAAAATTCCCGCCGTCATTTGACTTTTTTACAGAGAAATGTTTGGTTGAATCCGTTCAAAAATTTCACTAAATTTCATCGGCAGCACAAAGAAAATTCAGTTAAATTTTCGGACGGCTTCTTTGAGCAATTTCTCCGTAAAAAATAAAATGGCGGCGAAAATTGTTCATCATCATATCGCGCTTGAGATACTTTTTCCGGAAGGTGACGATTTATAGGTGCTCTGAGAATCACAACGCAAGATCTCAATATGACTCGACTGCGGTTCCATCGCACAGTGGATGGAGTAAATTAGAGTGGTCGGACACGAAAGTTTTTACTAAAACTGCAAATTTTGATGTTTATTTTGTCAAAATTTAAACTGTAAGGGGTGGTTTTGGAAGAGAACTTCATGAGGAAACCAATAGAACCACTTATAGAACCTCAAAGTTTTGTACGAGCGGAGTTATAAGCGTTTAAAGTTTCCAAATTTTGTCCGACCTCTCCTATTGACTCGATCCATTGTGCGTCGTTGCAATGGAGATGATGCATGTGTAAGGAATTTGCGATTTGACTGTTGATTCTTATTAAAAGTTCGCGAGAAACACGATGGTGCCACTGGTTTTCTCTGAAATCAACTCCCAAGCTCAAAAAAAGCTCTGAAGTTGAGGCCAAAATGGAGGGAATATCCCACCCTACCCTGAGAGTCCACTTCTACATCAAGACAAACTCTCCATGCAAAGATAGGGAGCAAATACATTAGCAGTGATGTCGTATTTTCAGTTTTAGAGTCCCCAAATGAAGTGGCAGTCCTGTCAATGTATTTGCCTCCTAATCTTTGCATGGAGAGTTTGTCTTGATGTAGGTAGACATGGACACTCAGGGTAGGGTGGGATATCCTCTCCATTTTGGCCTCAACTTGAGAGCTTTTTTTGAGCTTGGGAGTTGATTTCAGAGAAAACCAGTGGCACCATCGTGTTTCTCACGAACTTTTACATAAGAATCAACAGTCAAATCGCAAATCCCTCACACATGCAACATCTCCATTTTTGAGGCTCGCGAATAACACTCGCGCCCGTAGCCGTGCTCAGTCCGGGTGGCCTAGTTTATTGGTCACTTAGCAGTTGAGCGGGGGCGAAGAAGTTTCGGCGGCGGCGGATGGAAGATGGAAAACGCTGCCCCAGTTTTGAGTCGCCCCGGTCCGAACGACACCATTTATTTCGCAAAACGCGGTCGCTTTCGAGTTTCGCAAGAACGCCGTATGAACATTCCAGAGTTGCCGAATTTCCGCGTATGAAAAATGCATTTTCGAAGGGAGTTATGAAAATTCCCTCCTGAAATTTTCGGATAGTTTAGATCCGTTTACAAAGAAAATTCTCAAAAAAATTCAATGGGAAATGTTCACAAGCTTTTCTGAAAATTCGTATTCGATCAAAGTAAATTTGGCAACTGACGAAGGTTTATACGGCGTTTTTCCTTAGCGCGGTCGTATAGTTAACTATCCGCCTCTCGATAACTCAAAGGAACAACGGCGAAAAAACTCATCGGAATCCTAGCCTTCAGTGGCGTGGCGTGAATGATCGATAATCGATATCTTGCCATTTGTAGCTATGGTAAAGAATCGATTACTAAGGTGTTCGCTGCGAACACCCTGATGATCGATCTTTTTTCATAGGTTTGAGTGGCGTATCAATCAATATATCGTAAAACACGCCATGCCACTGGTAGCCTTGAATTCGGTGAGGCGCCGCTTAGCGCTGGTGCCGTTAGGATATTGAATATAATGGACCACTAGACAAGGTACGAATTTAAGCAATATGATACATTTATCTTTCCCAGAATTTTGCGTAGAACACGGGTCATACAACGAAAATTACTGAAACCAATTCCTAACGAAGATATTAACGTTTTTATTTCACATTGGTTACGAGGAATTTGAACTGCCCGCGCACAAGAAACTCAAAGCTCTACGTGGGTCAAATCGCCCACTACAACGGTTTCAGCAAGCTTTTCAAACGAGCAATGTTCATTTCCCACCATGTGTTGTTCAAACGATAAGTAATTTGCTATAACTGAGCCAAAGCGTCAAGATTGAGGTTGCCAGATTTTTATATCGCAGAGACTGTCATGATAACGTTTAGCGCGCGATGTGACTCACGTAGAGCATTGAGTTTTCATAAGCGGGTAGTTTGAATTCACGCATCAAGAATCATTTGACATCTTCGTAAGGAGTTGATTTCGGTAATTTTCGTTGTGCGCATCGTGTTTTACGTGAAATGGTTAAGAAGCATGTATCAGAATGCTGAAATTCGTACCTTGTCTAGTGGTCCATTGAATGTTGAACTAGCATTAATACTGTTAAAAAAAATTTTCGACAAGTATCAAATGTTGATTTTCCATTTCACAAAATAATGCTAACTCATCATTGAATTTGTTCACTCGAGCATGGACGTAGTTAAGCATTTTATGATAGTAAAATCAGCATTTATACTTGTCGCAAATGTTTTCAGCATTATAAGTGCTAAAGCAACATTCAACTTTTTCCCATGTAGCTGATTTTGTGTGTTAAGTAAAGATTCTATCGGTGGAAGCGGGTGGTTGTAATAATGGCAGTGGCGGGCGTGGCGTGAATTGCGATGTATCGATTGTTATGCCATTTAAACCTATAGTAAAGAATCGATTATTAAGATACTCGCTGCGAACACTCTGTTTATCAATCCTTTTTCATAGGTTTAAATGGCATAACAATCGATATATCGCAATTCACGCCACTCCTCTGAATAATGGACAAATGAGGTAGGTAATAAAATAACTAACGACAATACCTATAATAGAGATCCCTCATCAGTTTCTCCCTTGGTCAATCAGAACCACCCAGTTAAACCAATAGGATCACTCTATACTCCTCATGTCTTATTTGTCAATCGTTTTATTTAAGTCTCATTTTAAAAAATCAGCCTGTAGATGGAGTTCGTTTCACGTGAATCTATTTTCTAGCGGAAAAACTAATGCGAGTTTTGAAAATGTGTATTAGTATTACAATCTGCAGCAGTGGCGAGTTGCGATTTACAATGAATCGATCGATCTTCCATTTAAACCTATGAAATAGGATCGATTATCAGGTTGTTTGCATCGAGCACCCTAATAATCGATTCATCACTAAAGCTGCAATTAGGGAAATATCGATCGGCGATGTTTCAGTACAGCCACTGACCTGCAGAAAATCCGATTTTCCGTCAAAATTTTAGAAACGTAATTTCTGACAAAACTGTACCGACAAAATTGTTGGCCAATGTTAGTGAAGAAAATTCTGCCCAGTAGCCAATTTTTATCCCAAAATTTAGCGATGACACCAAGGATTCTGGCATAGAGATGTGGGGAAAATGCTAAATACGTACCATTAAGAATAGTCCTTGACAAAGTCAGAAATTTTTAAAATGAGCGTGAACGGAAAAGTTTGACGGCTGATATCTTCGCCCCTCTGACGAAAGGGCGTATCTTGATTTTCGCAAGAGCCCCAGAAATCAAGGCGTCATATGTAAAACAGGGATCACGTCGCAATTGAGTTACGCCGACGTGTTCTCGCAGCGTTTTGAGCTCCTATCTCGCGACAGTGATGTTGCACGTTATTATGTTTCTGCCGAGATTTAGTCCCCTTTTTCACTAATAAAATTCAAAAATCGAGATAAAGATTATTAAATACGGAATCTAGAACTCAGTGACTTTTTGGACTACCTCTCTCTTTTTGTGCCGTAGTACCTTGACATACGTTGTGAGGAAAGCTCCGCACTCTTAAAGGATGCTTGTCATTCTTAATATGTTGGAGCGCCTTCAATTTCGTATGATACTGTGCAACACCTCTGTGGTGAAATAGTTGCTTGAGGCGCCGTGGCACGTTGCGGCGGCATGGCGCCTTCAAACCTAAGGCGATACTTCAAGCACTGCGCAATGCGTGAAGTACCCCCTTAGGTTTGTAGGCGCCATTGCGCGTTCCGCGCTGTCAGCACGCTGCTCTGCTTTGTTAGGCTCTAATATTGAAACTCGCGGAGTCAGCTTTTTCCAACTGATGATTTTGAAATGTTTGCACACTGTGAATGGATTATTCTCAATTAAATTGATGGAAAAAAATATGTATTAACGGAATGTTATTATGTTTGTTTTCTAAATATTAAGGTGGTTTCAGGTCAAATTTAATGATTCCCAAAGCACTTTAATTTTTCTTTGATATTGTGTACTTTTACTGTGCTTGCAGCGTGATGTACGCTCAAGCAAGCGCCTAAAATTGGACGTATTTGACTCTTAAAGATCAATGTACAAATAGGTTAAAACCAAAGATTGCGCCTCGCGGTTTTTCTTCTTTTTCTGTTCATTCTTGAATAGTTTTTTTCAACAAAACTACGGCTCATTGAGATTAATATCGGTGCATTCGCTTGGTTATGGTTTTATAAATATTTTCCCAGTTCTTAACAAGTAAATCGTTTTAAAGTAAAAGAATATTTTCATGTTTTTTTATGGAGAAAAAAGAAAAAAATGAAGAAAAAAAAACATTTATAGGTTTTATTTTATATCGAAAATCTTAAGAATAGAAATAAAACGAAATATTCATCAATGACAATTTGAAAAGGTGAAACAAAATGAGAAAGTAACATTTCATTTAAAAAACGAGTCACCATAACAACACCTACTTCTCTCTTAATTTTCTCATTTCGGTATTGTCAATATAATTTCACATACGGACTAAAATATAATGCTTGGATCAAGTCACTTCTACTTATTTCACACGTTAACGTGAACTACTGGACAAAACATGTGCGCGGACAAAAATTCGTTGACAGAATGTCCTGAAACCGTTATCAAAGGGAATCTTATGGAGTTGCGGAAGCCAGGATCAAATACCGCGACTACAAGTGCTGAATTTTTCGAGGTGTACGTCGCAATTGAGGTACGCCAGAGAGGCAAGGATATGATCCCAAGCTTCGAAGGAGATCAAAAAAAAAGGTCCATAATTGCTTGCTACAGAGCTCTCAAAAATTGGAATGTCGAGAATTCTAAGTTTGGATCCGACAGAGACAGAACAGGATCCGAGGTCCCTTTACCGGACATTCATGAGATTCATACATCTATAATACTGCTGTACTAAGAAATAACGCCGTATGGGCATTCAAATGTTGCCAAATTTCCTCTTGGAAAATATTTATTTTTAAAGAAAGTTGATACAATTTTTCCTTGACATTTTCTAACACTTCAGATCAAATTACGAACAAAATTCGCTGGAAAATCGAAAAAAAATCATCACAAATTTCCTTGAAAATCCGAGATTTTTTTAAAGAAATTTGGCAACGTCTAAGGGCTCACATGACGTTCTTCATTAGCACGACAGAACATGGGCTCAATTTCAGCTTATTATTCAAATATTTGCAAGGGAAAAATTTGAAGAATTTGAACTCCTGCCCTCATAAAAGCACTGATTCAAATAATTCTAAATATGAAGCTTATTTTGTACCTTGATTTACTTTGCGAGGAAAGCTCCGCACTCTTAAAGGATGCCTGTCATTCTTAGTATGTTGGAGCGCCTTCAATTTCGTATGAAACTGTGCAACACCTATGTGGTGAAATAGTTGCTTAAGGCGCCGTGGCACGTTGCGGCGGCACGGCGCCTTCAAACCTAAGTGGATACTTCAAACATTGCGCAATGCGTGAAGTATCCCCTTAGGTTTGTAGGCGCCAGTCCGCGTTTTGCGCCGGCGGTTGAAAATTGAAAAAAAATAATCACAAATTTCCCTGGAAATCCGAGATTTTTCGAAAGAAATTTGGCGACGTCTGAAGGCTCACATGACGTTCTTCATTAGCACGACAGAATATGGGCTCCATCTCAGCTTCTAATTCAAATATTTGCAAGGAAAAAAAAATTGAAGGATTTGAACTCCTGCCCTCATAAAAGAACTGATTCAAATAATTCTAAATATGAAACTAATTTGGCAACGGCCAGCAGTGTGCATTGGGGACTCGACTTCGCCAAAAGACGGGTCATCGATCAGGTGTCGAAAATAAGGGGCGAATTTTTGGCTCGGAACACAACGCGCCCCGTTGTCAAACGGCGGAGAAAAGAACTCGCCTACCGTCGACTCGAAGCTCCCTCCTACCGGAAAAACCGCGTATATCCGGTTGGAAACCGATGGAATTACGCGGTTGTCGCCACTAGGGCAGTATGTCTTAGGGAAACGACCAATTAGAGCGGCGGTCCGGCAACACGTGACGAGGATTCGGTTAAAATTGCTCTTCGGGAGCAATAATCATTTCCCGGATGAGCTCGGAGGCAAGGTGAGACGTCGACTCGGCCGTAAATAAAAGGCTCGCGACACTCGCGCACATTTCCGGTTTCCGGTTCGGCACTTCCGGTCGCCTCAAATAGTCGTGGCTGGGTCTCCTTGAGATCTGATCGGTCAATCTAGAGTACCTTTATTCCAAAAAGCCAAAAAGCCCCAGCCACTTAATAAATATTTTCGTCAATCTCAAGGTCGCTGAAGCTTGCGACACTCCCGCACGTTTCCGGTTTGGCATTTCCGGTCGCCATGACAAAAGATCAAAACCGTTTCTCGAAAATAACTTCTGCCCTCAGGCAGAAAGTTTCTACCCATAGGTAGAAAGTTTTCCACTTGATCCACTTGATTGACTTGATCCACTGTGTGACGGGTAGACAGTTCCAAACGAAATCTGCTCACGGCAAACAAATTTAATAACCCCTAATGGCTCTTTTGCCGGATGCAAGGCACTTATATGTTTTCATGTCCTGTATCAGCAATGGAACACGTCCAACTACTTGCCAGAATCCATCAGGCGCCATGACAAAAGATCAAAACCGTTTCTCGAAAATAATGTCTGACCAATGGTAGAAAGTTTCTACTCATGAGTAGAGATTTCCTCCCGATAGGTAGAAAGCTTCTACCAATAGGTAGAAAATGATTACCGATGGGTAGATATTACGTTTCACGATCAAAATTTCTTGATGAATTCGCATGAAGATAGCCCTATGGGCCGAAATGCACCTGGGAAAATAAAACTGTAATTTATGCATCTACTTGGCGTGACCTAATCTCTCCCCTATCAAGTTTAATAGATGCAATATGCGCTCGTTCAAAACTTAACAACATCTCTGGTTCATCTTTAGATATACACTTACGTGCAAAGATCAAATGATGATACATATTTTGTTCCTAAACTGAGTCAGAAACCGTTCGTATGAACTGGTCTTCATATTTTTGTTCGCAGACATTGAGCCACTACTCGGAAAACCGGTTCAAATGGAGCTTGCTCAAGAGACTGGCGTGGATGTGGCTCTGATCACACTGATTGACGCTGCCAAAGGTAGGAGAACTTCGAACTTTTTTTGTGGGTTAATACTGTTCAAAAAAAACCTGGAAAACCCCTATGAACTATATCGATGGCCGAAGTGCGAAACACTGTATATCCGTCAGAGACATCGCAGACTTCCTGTCATACTTTAATTTTTCTTTATATTAGTCAACGTAATTTCTTAATAATTTACTTCATTTTTTTACATTCATACTTTTCTATGAGAAGCACCCCTAAAAATTAATATTGTGACGAGATAAGTGTCAAATTTAACAATTTTTGTCAAATACTTCATGTCCGATTTCTTCAAAAGACTCGTTCCACTGAGCGCCAGGAACCCGTCCGACCTCGGAATAATATCCAGGGTAGAAAGTTAGAATTTCACTTTTAAATGGGCTGCGATAATTGCGGGAAGGAGCCACCCGGTCGTCCGACCCTTGCGCCGCACAGTGGATCGAGTCAATTACTAAGGTCGGAGATAAAATGCTTGACTAAAACTGCACATTTTCATGTTTATTTCGTCACCTGTAAAGTTCCAAGCGCTGCTCATGAAAAAAAACTTCACGAGGAAACCAATGGAACCACTTTTAGACTCCCAAAAATTTGTAAAAACGGAGTTATGAGCGTTTGAAGTTTCTAAATTTTGTCCTACCCCTCCTGTGGACTTGATCCCCTGTGCGTCGTTATAAAAAAAAATTTTGAGAGATCCGCTCAGCACTGCAAGCGTGTGTTGTGGCGAGTCTATGTGGCTGCAGTCTGCACTTTCAATGAGGAGTCATTTTCCGCGAGGTTGCCGACGCAAGGGAAATTTTGCGAATTTTCTAGAAGCAAAATGGCAGAAGTATTCGCCCTCCAGCCAGCCCTCGGACGCTAGCTAGCAGTATCCGCCCCATCCTTCCGGGGGGCCTTCAAGGAAGAGGGAGGCATAGTTTTCCTGAAAAAATTTTAAAAAAAATGCCTCCAAAAAAGGCCTTATTATTCCTTTAAGGGATTCTTTAGTAACCCAGTTTAGGTGTGTAATCCTTATGTACATATATGTATGATCCATATGTATATGAACTATAGATAGTTTTTTTCACTTGAAAATATATGGACTACATTTTGCAATTAGGACCTGTAAATTCCGACCTGGTTTAAAAACAACGTATGTGCCATTAGTTTCCCTATGCACATAAGTGTTTTTTCAGATGAGCCATAATTCATAGGTCCAAATTGCAAAATGCAGTCCATATCATAGCCACATGGCTTTATATACAAATAAATATAATTATCTTATCTTATCAAAAATTGTTACGTCACAGTAACTCTTGTATCGGGCATCCTCTAACTATGTAATGTCATCAAATTAATTATTCTTATCCCTCTACTTATTACTGCATATATTATTGAATTAGTGCTTCTTATCTCTCTACTTTAATTTGAATGTGTTATTTCTATTCAAAGTAATGTAACTTCAAAAAATTTAAATTTGTTGGTCTCAGAAACCAGGAATGTAGCCCGGAAAGTGGACGTACTGCTATCTAACTGCAAAACGACCAAGTCGCTGATAACGACGACACAGGAAAAGCTAGAGGAGCTCCAGCGGCAGATTGAGAGGTTTCGACAGCAATGCTCATCGGCCGAAAAACCCCTCTGCGATACCATCGAAACTTTCGACCTTGAAGTTGTCCTTCGTGTTGACAAGGTAAACTATTCGCAAAATGGGTCAATTGCGCTACCCAAGTGGCATGGGGTCCTATTTTCTGTCTAGCACTAATTTAAAAATTGTCTATTTTCTAGACAGAAAGAATAAAGTAGAGAGAAAATGGAAAGAAAACAGGTGTATCAAATAGAAGTAAGAAAATTATTAAAGAAACTTTAATTTTCTGTTTATGTTCCGAACACTAAATACAAGAAAAACAGACACTTTTGATGTCTAAAGTCTGTGTTTTTTCTATCTGTTTTCTGAATTTTAAATCTCTAAGAAATAGATAAAGAAAATATCCAATTTTTCTCTATTTTCCATCAGGTTTTTGAATATTTTTTCTTAAGGAAATAGCCCTATCAATTTTCTAGACGGAAAGTAGATCCATTTTGTAGACAGGAAACAGACCTATTTTCTTTGGTAAATAGTGACGCACACTTTAAATTATCTGTCTACTTTCCAAAATGCTAGCTACTTTTTCTTTATTTTCTAAATTTTTGTCATTATTTTTTTTTTTTTTTCATAAAATATCTTCATTTTGCTACTTGGGTGGTCACAGAATCGTGTTGCAAAGCTTTATTCGTGTAGATTAGCTTAAAATAATAACATCTGTCCAAAAAGAAACTTTCTACGTTCAAAATGAACAGAAATATTGCGCTTTGAGAAATTCGTTATGACGTCATCCACCGCGGTAATGAAACCCTTGATTTCTTCCAGCTTGCTTTCATCAATCAGTGGGAATAACATTTGCAGTGGTCGTTCAACTTGGAACTCGGATAAAAGCAAGGCGGTAGAAACCAAGGGTGTCACTACCGCGGTGGATGAAGTTATGGGACGAATTTTTCAAAGCGCGATAAGAATAGGGAAGCGTCAATTATGAATAAGAATACGCTAAAACACTCTACACCTCTTTGGTGCAACCGAACTTAATTATCTTTCAAGAAAATCCCAGCATGTCATACCTGAACCGGATAAACCTTTTGATTTGCCTCAGCTAAAGGCTCCTATATTTTTCTCTTGTAGAATAACTTCGCAACGGCGCCGGCGCGCGGCGTGCCGCAGCGTTTCTAGCTACTATCTCGCGACCGTGATGTTGCACGATATTATGTTTCTGCCTAAATCGAGTCACTTTTTTCACTAATAAAACTCAAAATTCGAGATAAACATTATTAAATACGGATGCTAGAACTCAGTGACTTTTTGGACTACCGCTCTCTTTTTGTGCCGTAGTGCCTTGATTTACTTTGCGAGGAAATAGCCGTACCCTTAAAGGATGCCTGTCGCACTTAATATGTTGGAGCGCCTTCAATCCTGTATGATACTGTGCAACACCTCTGCGGTGAAACAGTTGCTTGAGGCGCCGCGGCACGTGGCGCCGGCAGGGCGCCTACAAACCTAAGGCGATACTTCAAGCACTGCGCAATGCGTGAAGTATCCCCTTAGGTTTGTAGGCACCACTGCGCCTTCAGCGCTGTCAGCACGCTGCTCTGCTATGTTAGGCTCTAATATTGAAACTCGCGGAGTTAGTGTTTTCCAACTCATGATTTTGAAATGTTTGCACACTCTGAATGGATTATTCTCAATTAAATTGATGGAAAAAAATTAGTACTAACGGAAAATATAATGTTTGTTTTGTAAATATTAAGGTGGTTTCAGGTCTTTAATGATTCCAAAAGCACTTTAATTTTTCTTCGATATTTTGTACTTTTACTGTGCTGCAGCGTGATGTACGCTCAACCAAGCGCTTAAAATTTCTTTAGCATACATTTTAAATGTGGAGTGACTAAAATGTTCAGGTTATCGTTCCAGACTCTCGGTGATAGCAAACTCCAGTACATAAGACGCTTGGAAGATGAGACGCTTAACTCTCTGGTCAAGAACTTGAGTGATCTCTTTCATGACATACCTAAAAAAGTCGGCCAAGACACCAAGGACTTGCGCACAGGTAAGCGTTATAATATTTGCAAAACTCAAAGCAACAGATTTTCGAAATTTCACAGTTTGCGACGAAACAATGCTGCTGTGTTAAGGAAAAACGCCGTATGAACCTTCAGGCGTTGCCAAAATGCCTTGGATAAAACACGAATTTTCTGGTAGGCTTATGAATATTTTTCTTCGGATTTTTCAGATAATTTTGCTTGCAATACCGTCGAAAAGTTTGGAAAATTTCGAGGGAAAATATTCATAACTTTCATAAAAAATAAACATTTTATCGAAGGAACTTTGGCAACTCTCGAATGTTCATACGACGTTCTTCCTTAGCACGGCACTTGACGTCATACCTCGATATAGTTTTAATATCTCGAAAGCAGAAATGTGCCGTAACAAACGCACATAAACTCCGAAGTGAATTCTCCATTTAAATCAATGTTCATGTTCAATAATCGATTCTAAGTGAGGCAACCTATCTCACCTAGAATCGATGTGTTTAATGGATGTAAATGTGGAGTATCAACAGTTTTGCCACTTTGCTATGATCGGCTCTGAGGCCAGGCCGAGATGGTAATAATATATTATAAATCGTCAACTGTGAGGGGAGAATGTGTTCCACGGTTCATGAAACTCAGCAAGTATTTTTTCTATCTTGAGGAAATATTTTTCAAATTTGATCACAAAAATTTGGTCCCATAATTTGAATTATCGTGGTCATAAAGTGGGGGGAACAAAGTACGTAACTTAACCAGTTATACTGTATGGTCATGTTTGAAATCCACGAGGTTCTTTAGAAAATGCTTTCAAATGATGCGATAACTATATTTTTCCCATTTTTTTCGGGATAGAAATCTGGACCAAGTTGATCCGACGTCAAAAAAGGATAGAGAACTCGTTGAAAAGTTTCGATACTTTTTTGGAGGACCTTTCGTCAAAAATCGACCAACTATCAGTCACTTCGGTGGAATTTGTGCGCGAAGCAAACGATTATGAGTTGCTTTGGTACATTATTGCGTCAGGTAAGGAACGTTTGTTTTTGTCCTTCTCAGGTTACTAACAACATCGTCCGAAGAGTGAAAATTCAAAACATGTCAAGCGCAACCCGGTGTTGCTAGGATTGTGTAACTTTTTCCTTCATTTAACTTGAATTTAATTGCGTAAGGATAATAATTATTAGATATTGAAAAAAAAAATGCTAAATTTTAGACAAAAATTCCCAACAAAAAGTCCACAGAGCAAAAATTTGTAGATTCCTTTATGAGAGAAAGCATGCACAATCTTAGCAACATCTGCTAGTGCTTTTCAGGTTTTGAATACCCACTGTTTATGGATCCCAATCAGTAGAGTAGACCAAAATTAAACGCAATGACTAAATGGAGAATTTCCACGCAAATTTTTTATTGCTTCATCTAAAAGTGCTTGAAGAGCTGATTTCACAGTATTTTTTCAAAAATTTTCTGATATGGGAAATTGTATAAAAATAGATTTTAAAGTGAGAAAATGCACCACCTAGTAACGTCATCTGGCGGCATTTCCCATTTAAACACACGTATTTTTGCAGATTAAATCATATTGTTATATCTTCTCCAATACCTGTTCAATTCATGAACCAAGGGTATCCTCGTGTTCAGTCACTCAGTAGTTTCCAGCTAAACACGAAATTTATCAAATTTCAGACACATGCAAATTCCCAATTGGTGAGGCTATCCTACTATTTTGAAACTTTTCTCACGAAGGAATGGATTCAAAGATCAACTAATGAAAATTTAAAAATACCCTGCCACAAGTTGTATACTTATGTTTAACATTATTAATTTTTTAAAGTCAATCGCTAAAAGATTTTGTAGGTTGAAATTTATTTGTGTTAATGACATACGCTTAAAAAAATAGGTGTTGAATATAATTTTTCCATTTCGTTAAAAGTTTTTCTTGAGTTGGAAGATCCATTATGAGAAGGCCATAGAATAATAAAGATTGTTGGAATAAAAAGAGGAAGCTAGAGTAATAAGAGTGTGTAATAAGAGTTTTGTCGTTGTAAAATTTGCAATAAAGCTCTAGCAATATTTTTTTTTAATTCCATACCACCAGACTAATTGCGCTCACAATGACTTGTAAACTGAAGAAAATTTATAAAAAATTTAAAAATACGTAAATCTGTCCAAACTGTCAGAAGACATAATCAGCACCACAGGTAGGTTCATTCACTTGAATAATGAAGTGAAATTTGACAGTTAATTTGGACAGCGTTTAGTAGAAAGGAAACAAGCAACATCACCTGGCCAAATCAACTGGGCAATTTCATTTTTTAGGAGAGAATGTTAACGCGGATACCTTTGAACATTTTAAGGAATTTGCTTTGTACTATATGTATATGCGGAAATTTCATGAAATTCGCAAAAATCCGCACAACCGTTTTCATGAACAAAATTAAATTACCCCTGTTGAATTTGGCAAAAGCTGATGTGGCTTAGTTCCTCTCTGCTTAACGAGGTCCATTTCGTGCACAATTGAATCAATTGGACTGTCTATTACCTATCAAAATTTAGCCATTTCCATAAGGTTCATAACTAACGATTTGACCTGACTTAACACTTACCTCCACTGAAAGAGAGGAAGAGGACTATCTGCTTTTAAACGGTTTGGTTTTTTTAGGGGCGTTCCTTTTGATGAGCATGGTCTGGTTCCTTCTACTTTTCGGTCTCATTTGTGGATGCTGCGGAGCTGATCAAAAGGCTAGAGCTATTTTCCTCTTGTAAGTATTGAGATAAGTCTTGAGTCTAAGCCTTAAGTCTTAGTCTTAAGTCTTGAGTCTTGTTAGTGTTGAAAGTGTTCTGCTGGTAACAATATTAATTAAAGAGCTAACATGTTTTTCAACGTGTATTATACGGTTGTTTTCAATCCGCCTTCAGCTGCGTCCGCAGCAATTGTTGTTACGAATATGTTGTGCGTGCTGATCTCAGCTCATTACATATTTGACCCTTTGAAGGCGTCTAATGTGCGAAAGTAGAGCACTCTGTTGGAGAACAACAGAAGTGAGATTGAATGAATCGCTCGATCCTTGCCTCGTTCGTTCTCCGACAGACTGCGCTACTTGCGCACATGATCCGCCTTCAAAGAGTCGAGTATGTAATGAACTGAAATCAGCACGCACAACATATTCGTAACAACAATTGCTGCAGACGCAGTAGAAGGCGAAGTGCTCAATCAAAGACAAGACCATGACTGGAAGTCCGCGTGTAACGAAAGAGTATGTGCTCTATCGACATAAATCTGACGGAAAATAGAAACGTGAACCGATCAACACCGATTCAATGGACAAATAAATAAAAAAGCGGATCAAAATCAGTAAAACACTTTTATTTACTATGAAAATTTCAAGTTGCGGAATCTTGAATCCTGACACTTGCAAGAGCTCCATTGTCTACCTGTATCAAATCGCGCACTACAACAGTTTTGGTGGGCTCCTTAATTGACCAATGTACCTCCCCACATTGTGTTGTTCAAAGTAAGAACAACGCTCAACAGCTAAGCCGAAGCACCAAAATCGAAGCTACCACACGGAGAAAAAAACCTCATGCGTGGGACCCGAAGTTTAGCTCATATGGATCTCTGAAGTTTTCGGATTGAGCATCTGAACACTTTAGGTCTAGCTGTCGAGGATCGGATCACATATCTGAAACTCCAGTTCTTACATCTAAAGTACCTCAGATGTAAGAACCGAAGTTTTTCGGATGTGAGAACCGAAGTTGATCGAGTGAAAAAATCGAAGTACTTCAGATGTAAGAACTGAAGTTTCAGATGTGTGATCCAAACCCCAGCAGCTGGACCTAAAATGTTCAGATGCTCAATCCGAAAACTTCAGAGATCCATTATGACCTAAACTTCGGTCCCCATGCGCGAAGTTTTTTTCTCCTTGTATGTCCATTGCAACCACCCGCTTCCACCAATAAGATCCCTCCACATCCCTTTTGTCTCCTTTGTCTATCGATTTCAACAATGAGCCGGCTACGGGCCGATTATTGAAACTGATAGACAAAGCGATAGACAAAGAAGACATAGGAAGTATAGAGCGATCTTATTGGTTGACATGGTTGGTTCTTATAGACTAAGGAAGATAATGATGGACTAACTGTCGGGTCTTTGGTGGGTTGCCGTTAGTTAATCCATTCCCTACCTCCTATGTCCATTGCCTCCACCCGCTTCCACCAATAGGATCCCTCCACATCCCTTCTGTCTCCTTTGTCTATAGCTTTGTCTATCGATTTCAACAATGAGCCGGCTGTTCTATTTGTTTCTTTTCCGACCAGGACGGTGTTCATAATGACGTTCCTTTCGATCTCGCTGTGGTTGCTGGTGTTGGTGAGTTTGGTGGTGGGCGGCCACGGGGAGGCGCTGGTATGCCGCCCTCTCTACGAGGAGCCCACGTTCTCAGCCCTGAGTCAGGTCATCGACGACCCCGGTATCATCTTCCAACCCCCCGAGGAAACTACCCCCATGAAGCGCGGCTTTTTCTCCCATCTCCTCCGTGAGAAGAACCGCGTCGACATTCCCATCAAGGATATGCTCAGGTAAGCGTGCGTATTCATATTCGTTTTTTAAACACACTGGGAAAAAAACACATTGGATCTAGATCTAGAGTCCAGACTCTTGAAAACATTGACAAGAAAAAATATTCTTAATTCAATCGGAGTTTTGCTTGAATCAAAACAAAATCCGCTTAGATTAAGAGGCCGGGTTCTTGATTTAAGCTTAAATCTGATTGAATCAAGAGTATTTTTTCTTGTCGATGTCTTTAAGTGTCTGGACTCTAGATCCAATGTGTTTTATTCCAGTGCAGTATCTTTCTTTAGGCGGCCTTATATACTGCCGTGATAGCGAAGAGAGCAGTAAGTGCAAAAATAAGGGCTTGGAGGACAAGGTGCATAAGTGCAGCTTTTATACAAATTGAGATAATAATGGTTTCAAGAGTCCTAACGCATATTCTGCTAAAAATTCGCTTTCAAATTTCAATTTTTAAGCATCAAAAAGTCACTTTGAACTTTCTTGCTCCCCTACGGATCAATGTAATTTTGAAACTACAAACACGTATTTCTCGAAATAGGAAAAACTGATCTTGTGCGCCTTGTCCTCCGAGCCCTTCAAATGAAGTTTTGAGAAAACGGGCTCAGAAGCTTCCGACCGAAAAATTGTATTGAAAGAAGCCTCCGTTCCTTGTCAAATTGCTACATTCGAAAGACTCTTATAATTCGGTTGGATGATTGAAAATCGACCGATTTCAATGCTGGGTTATTGTTAGACAAGACAGCCATAGTGCTATTTTCTGCATGCTTTCGGGGTTTCATTTTGGACGCAAAACAAACACATTTTCAAGTTAGAAATTGGCAGAAGAGGGCGGCACTTTACTTGAGGGCCTCATTTTCATTGGCTCTCTGGTAGAATAATGTCTCTCACTGCTGTTTTGCCTGAGACTACGTCATTTTGTGCGCATTTACGGCTTTCTCAGATGTCTCTTTTTATACAATTAAGATGAATTTTGCTGTTTTAGCTATTTCAGTGATCTCATCTAAAAGAGATAAGACGAATTTTGAAGGAAACTCGATTTTGGACATTTGACGCTGACTGCTCTATGCGCTATTAAGGGTTCAGCAGGTTTGCGGTTAGGTAAAATAAGTCTAAAAATGAGAGAAGTCGCGTATTTTAATAAGTGCAGATGTGTGCGCTCGGAGAATTTTTTTCTCTCCATCTCTCTCCTCTTTTTGTACATGTCTGATGGTTCCTCGGTCCATACTTTCACTGTGATGTTTTACCTCTCGAAACTGCGTAGAGCTACGAACCATCCATCGAAAGATTCCCGCGAAGAATCTTTCCTGGCTCGGCCATCCGCGAGCGCATATTTCATTCGGCTCAAATGAGCTGGGTGGTGAGGACGGAGGAAAGTGCAGAAATATGAAGTCACTTTTATTTATCTCCTTGCACCTCCCCCCAACTTTATCTCGTTGTCCCCCGCCGACGCCGGGGGAGGGGCGGCGGCGGAGAGCACTGCAGTCTTTTAGCGCGGGTTTAAAAAAGCGGAATAATCTTATCGGAAAGAAAGAAGGTTGGCGAATGGTGAGAATGGGAGGGGCCGTGGAATGAGATACCTACCCGGATGCCAAATGTTTCCCTTTCACACTTCTCCATCAAAAATTCTCACATTAATGATATGAGTTAATCGTGGCAGAAACGACTTCTAGACTTGTTATTGTTGGTCACATTGTAGATAATAAGACAAAAAAACTAAAACGAGAGGATTGCATCTTGCAAAAAGGAACCAGAAGCATTGCAATGATGCTAAGATTGTGCAACTTCATCATTTGCAATAAAATTAATAAAACTATGAAAAAATACGAAACATAATAATTTGTGTCTGAAATTTATAGTTTTAAGCGAGTAAAATAGGAACTGTTAATGGATAATCAGGTTTTCTTCCAAGACAAAAGAAGATGCACAATTTTAGCAACATTGCTATGCTCCTGGTTCCTTTTTGCAAAATGCAATCCAAGTGGCCCGATTTATATGTGGGTCCCATTTATCAAAGAGGAACCAGCGTGATTACAGTGCTGTAAAAATGTTGCTTCTTCATAATCATCTAAAAAATCTTCCCACCAAAAAATTGTTTAAAGAGAATAATTGTGTAAATTTGAATATTGTACATATATCAAGTGTTTTTGAAAAAAAAAGAGGAAGTCGCACGATTTTGAAAACACTATAATCGAGCTGGCTCCAGTGGCGTGGCGTGAATTGCAATATATCGATTGATCGGCCATTTAACCCTGTGGAAAATTATCGATAAACAGAGTGTTCGCAGCGAACACCTTATTAATCGATTAGTTACCGCTGCTTCAGATGGGGAAATATCGATGGATCGCAAAGCACGCCACGCCATTGGCCGGTTCATTTTTGCTAAATCCGATCCAATTGCAATAGGGTTATAAAATATTGCTGGGTCCGTACTATTTGGCGGGAAAACAAGACCAAAAAACTAAAAAATTTCAATCGGAATAGAAAAACGTTGAGCTCTAAAAATGAGTATTAGTAAAACATGTGGTTACAAATCTTAATGTCACTTAAGTGGTTGCCTAGCTTAACTATTGTGCATAACTTAATACTGAATATCTAATGAGCTAAAACCACTGATCATTTTTACAGAATTTTTTTTTTTTTAAAAGAAAAGGAGAAGGGCAGGGTAGTAATTGTGCTCCTTCTTTAACTCTTGTGTGTAATAGACCCATTCAAGCATATTTTACTTAAAACTGAGAGAGAATGAGATGAAGGAAAAACTGTCAAAGTTTAAAAGCCTGAATGAACATTAACATCTTCACTAAGCGCACACTGTCGTGCTAAGGAAAAGCGCCGTATGAAAATTCGAGAGTTGCCAAGTTTCCTTTGATAAAAATGTATTTTTGAGGAAAATTAATAATATTTTTCCTTGAAATTTGCGGGAACCTTAGATTACAATACGAACAAAATTCCCTGAAAAATTGGAAGAAAAATATTTGTTAGTTTACCAGAGAATTCGTGTTTTATCAAGGACAATTTTGCAACGCTTGAGGGTTCATACGGCGTTTTTCCTTAGCACGGCAGAGTGCTTTTCATTACATTTACAAGAAGATAAGAAAAAGGATAGGAAGCCGGCATGTTTTGGCAACCGGTGGAAGTAAACAGAGGAAGCATCCAAAGAAGGGAGCATCAGCGATAAGATCCGGCTAGGGCGGGGGGGGGGGGGGTCCGGGATGGGAAAAATTAACTGGAGTAGAAGGGAAGGTGCGGGTGACTAGGAGAAAGACACAGCAATAGTGGTTCGGATTCGGTGTACAAAAGAGACATTATAACTCTTATTTGTTGATATATTTCCGCCTTTGCCACATTTTATCACGCAGATACTGCAGATCGAGGTAAATCTGGGTGTTTTCTCAGTAATAAAAATAAGGATAAAGCAAACCGAAACACACAGTTTTTAACTTTTCAAAGCAACATGCTATTGTAATTGATAATTCATCTCATGCATTTCAGGTTTAAACCATCTTCAGCAATATAATACAATAAATCAAAACATAAAACAACGAGATTATTTTCTAAGTGTTTTAATCTTGATTCAACACGAAAGAAAATTTTCCCAAGCATCCACCTGCAAGAGCGTACTTTTAATATCGATGGTTAAAGTACGAGACCGCGTATCTCCATTACGGTGTTGCAAAATGTCCGCTTCTATTTTATTTTTTCGAAGAGAAACAAGTCAACTTCGTAGCTTGGAATTTGAATATTCTACCAACAGATAAGAAAAATCGAGGAAGTTTTCAAGAAGTTACGCTTACTAGTTTTTCCATGTAAAAATAAGGATGACTGGACTGCCGTGCTAAGGAAAAACGCCGTAAGAACCTTTAGGCGTTGCCAAGTTTCCTTCGATAAAAACTTATGTTACTGGGAAAATTGTAAATATTGTTTTCAAAATTTTCAAACAATTTTGTACGCCATTAAATCTAAGATTCAAAAATTTCAAAAAAATGTGCATGAATGTAGTCAATAATGCATTTTTTATCTAGGAAAATTTGGCAACTCTCAAATTTTCATACGGCGTTTTCCTTAACACGGCAGTAGAAGTCTACAACGTCGCAAACAGAGATACGTGGTTTTGCACTTTAGCCATCAATATGTTCCGAATGAAATTAGTTTTTGAATTAAAAAAACCTCTCAAAGTCGAGGTTGTAGTGTTTAGGATTCAGGGTCAGATTTAGGGGATGGACCATGGCGGCAAATTTTGCGATGTAGGTATCAAAAAAAAATCGGATTCTGAAGAAAAATTACAAACGAGAAAAGACGACAAAATCTCTCATTTCCTGAGAGTATAGATACATATAGTAATTTCTAATTTTGTCGTCTTTTGGTAATACAAGAGACAACACCGTAAATTGTTCGAGTTAAGAGAGAAACCAAAACGGAATTTGGCCTAAAGCGGCGCGGCTTGGTGCAGAGAGCATTGATGACGAGGACTTGATGAGATGAAAAAGAGAAGCCCTCGACGCGGCTGTCGGCACGAAACGCATAGCGCCTACAAGACTGCATGAATACTTCACGCGTTGCGCCAAACACAGTGCGGTCGGCGAAACGCACAGCGCCTACAAGACTGCGTGAATACTTCACGCATTACGTCAAACACAGTGCCGTCGACGATCGGTGTGAAACGCATATTGGCGCCTACAAGACTGTAGGAATACTTTATATACTTGCGCCATAAACAGGGCGGTGGAAGCAAAAAATATTAAACCACATTTATGAGTCGAAACCACGAAAACCATAAGTTTTCGTGAATTGATTTGGAGTAGTTTTTCATTTAAAAAATAATGTATGACAAGAAGTCTGCGAAGTCTTAAACTGAGATACGTGGTTTCGTAGTTTCACCGTCGAGTTACGGGTGTCTTACATATCGCTATAGCCTAACAAAACAAAAAATATCCTTTTTATAAAATTGAAAATAAAATATGTAGATTAGTAATCATCTATACTATTTCTAAGAGGTTTTTTGATGATTGATAGCAATTTAAAAAAGAATTAGGGCTTCTTTCAATAAAATTTTTCGGTCAGACGCCTCTGAGCCCTTTTTCTCAAACTTTTTAGCACTGACGGCTCTTTTCGCTATCACGGTAGATATATTGTCACCTTCAGGCCAAAGTATCACAAGTGCCATGCAAGCTTTCAAAATTTCCGCCACCATTTTATTTTTTTTTCATTATCTAAGGTTAGCCTGTAAAATTAATTCAATTAGTCTATTTTTAATTTAAGCCATGTACATAGATACAAGAAAATACTTTTAGTAGTTACATTATATTTAAATAAAATTCTTTCAAAAAAAAAAGAAAGAAATTGTTCAACGAAGCTGTCCGAATATTTCACCGAATTTTCTACGTGCTGCCGATAAAACTCGGTGAAATTTTCAAGCAGATTCAACCAACAATTTCTCTGTAAAATAATAAAATGGCGGCGGAAATTTTGAAACGTCGCATGGCACTTGTGATACTTTGGCCCAGAAGGTGACGATATGCTCCAACCTAATAACCTTGGGTCTCCAATGCTAGAATATCCCTCACACATTCACACTTTGCTCTAAGCTAACAATAAGACACAGCCTTTGAAGCATTTAATCTCTGCAAGCGCCGCCTTTGCATTGATTTGGTTTCCCCGCAGGGATTGCAGCGTGAACCGCGCATCGTACCCCACGTTCAAACTGGAGAGTCTGTTCGACATCAAAGAGGAAACGGATGTGGCCAAGTGGGACTCCCTGGAAACGGAACTTAGCAACCTGCGTTTGAACCTGTCACACTTGCACCTCTTCACGCCTACCTCACACTCGCAGCTGAGCGACCTCCTTCTAGGTCTCTCCATCAACCTCACCGATCATCGACACCAGGTTCGCTCCGTCACGATGGTCATCAAGGTTGTACAAATGACATGAAAAATATAAAATATTGAAAATTTTCTTGCAATATTTCATGAAATTTCACAAAGTTGGGGAAAGTATGAAAAATGAGGGACATATTTTCATAGGCTGGATATGCAACATGCACTAAAAAAACCAAAAAGCAAAATCTAGTCGCCTTTCATTTAATTTTGTATTTAATTTTGAAAAATAGTTTTCATATTTTTCTGAAATTTATTGAAATATTTCACTTGAAATTTCAAAAATGTATTTTTCATGAAAAATTGCAACCCTGGTGGTTATATCCGAGGTTAAAGTCCGAATCCACGTATCTCCATTCTTCCGTGCTGAGGGAAAAACGCCGTATGAGCCTCCAGACGTTGCGGAATTTAATTTGATAAGCTACTGATTTTCTGGGGAACCTAATAAGATTTTCCTCCCAATTTTTCTGATATTAATACAAGAAATTTTATCTAAAATATCTGAGAATTTAACCCAAAAAAAAAAATTACACTGGAAAAAAAAACACATTGGATCTAGAGTCCAGACTCTTGAAAACATCGACAGGAAAAAGTACTCTTGATTCAATCAGAATCTAGCTTAAATCAAGAACCAAGCCTCTTAATTTAAGCGGATTTTGTTTTGATTCCGGCGAAAATCCGATTGAATTAAGAGCCAGTTTTTCTTGTCAATGTTTTCAAGAGTCTGGACAGTAGATTCAATTAGAGTACCTGTATAAGGAGAGTATGGACAGATGTGAAACTCCGAAAATCCATCAGGCCTTCACCGATGTCTCTGCGAATAAAGTTAGGGCCCAGAAATGCAGCAACCTATGAATTTCAATTATCCAGAGAGCTTTACTGATACAATTGTTACGAACCATCGTTTATAAAGCACGTATTTGACTTACTCTTTGCATAAATTTACTCATTTTCGCGGAAAAACGCTCATTTTGGAATCTGCAGACTGGCAGTGAAATTTTGTGCGTTAGAAGTTGGTTAGAAGGGTGGCTGCACTTTTGGGCCCTAAGCCCTCCATGAAGCGATCTGTCCATACTCTCCCTATACAGGTACTCTAGATTCAATGTGTTTCTTTTCCAGTGTACCCTAAAAAATGAAAAACAAATCGTGAGAGACTTGGCAGCATTCGAATGTTCATACAGCGTTTTTCCTTAGCACGGCAACATTGCAGTGTTTCAAAATTTCCGCCTCTATTTGATTTTTTCAAGGAGGAACAAGCCAACTTTATACGCTGAAATTTTCACGGAATATTCTGCGAACTGAGAGGAAAAATCATTGAAGTTTTCGAGGAATTACGTTTTGGGCATTACCGATCTTATTTCAAATGCCAAGGTGCTACGCCGTAAATATCAGCGTGGCTTCTGCCAAGCAACTATTTAAACTCTCAAGGCAACGAAAGATGAATCAAAACAACGAAAAATTCAGTCAGACTGATTTCGGTTCCATCCTTCAAGTTTCCAACACTGTTTCCTTCCTTTAAATCCATTGAAAATATCGAGTTTAGGTATGTAATGCTGCCCTGCCAAGAATCGATTGTCTTACGTACATTTAAATGGAGGGAAAACAGCGCTACGAACTTTCAAAAATCGCCACTGCATATATGAAAGTTGATTTATCGTGATCATAAGCGCAAAAACGGGGTTTTCGTGTTATCTGAACACTACGAATATGAGTAAATTGTACAAAAAAGTGTCACTTGCAGACGGGACGAAAGACAGTAATAAACAGGGAAGCGTTAAAAGAGTTGGAGCGCGTTATCGACGTAACGCGGGGACTAAGTGGCCACTAAACGAGGTGATGAGGAGTCAACAGGTCCCCAGGCGGTAGTTCGGACCTCGAATGAGTCCCATCAAGGCGATTCAGCCTTAAAGGAACGATCTCGTAACCTGACGGGATCAAATGCTGCCGATTTTACGGTAAATTTCAGGGGTCTTTTCAAATTTTGTTGAATTTCTGCATTATTGCATCTAGATATGACTTAACATAAACTTTATGGTGATAACAGAGAGATGAGACACAATAGCCCGAACGCACGCAACAATAAAAATACATTAAAATATAAAAACAAATGGGTTTACAAGGCTAAGGAGAAATAAAACAAACCAGGACGTTTCGGGCCAATTACATGCCCATTCTCAACTGGAACAAAAGCTAAAAAATGTAAAAATTAAAACAAGAAAATGAGCATGCAACTGACCGAGGTAGAAATCAGTGCAAACTGAAAAACAGAGCAAAGATGGACAGAGGGGCACTATCACCTCCTTGATAATAGGCCAACCTCTACACCCACAATGGAGTATTTATAGAGGTTCCTCTCCACCACAGAGAATCTGGTGATAGGATGCGCTCAATCGATCTATGTCAGCCCTAATGTTGCATAGTTCACCTCTATTCTTTACAGTTTTTATAATCTCCAACACACTAAAATTTAGCCTAGATACATAAAATCACAAAGTTGATTAAATTAATCTGACATACCGCTGCATTTCGGCATTTGCATGGGTATTGTTCATTTTATGTGTTTCATATTGTTGTATACCCTGATGAGGGTGTTTGCCGGAATGCATCGGTATGTTAGATTCATAAAATAGATTTCGTAATTTCATGCATCTGGGCTAAATTTTTTGAATGAGTGACTTAAATTTTATCAGTATTCAAAATTGCAAAGTTCAGCGAGCATTAAACTATCGTCAGATACATAAAATTACAAAATATATTAAATTAATCTGACCTATCACTGCGTTTCGGCATTTGCATGGGTATTGTTAATTGTATGGGTTTCGTATGTTGTGCCCTGATGAATGCGTTTGCCGAAAAGCATCGGTATGTTAGATTCATTTGATACATTTTGTAATTTCATACATCGATCCTAAATATTTTGAATAGGTGACTTAAATTTTATCAGTTATTCAAAATTGGAAAGTTCAGCGAGTAAATTGAGGTAGAAAGCTTTGATATATTTAAATTTTTGAGCTTTTGAATTGAACTTAAAAATACGTTTCGTTATTATTGCCGAGTGGTGCACCTATAAAATTAAATTTACGTGATACCCAATTTTTTTCGTCTCTTTCAGCTGAAAGGGCCGGTGACTGGGCGTGACATGAGTTCGTTCGTGAGTCAAATGGAAAGCGTGGCGAACCAGATCCGAAACCTGGAGACGGCAACTCACCTGGAGACCCTCGCCGCGAGAACTAAACGCCTCATCGGCAGTCATATCAAGCCTCTAGAGGAACAGAAGGTGGGTCTTCTGATAGAACGTTGGAAGCGTACAGCAAGGAATTCTGTGCTGCGTAAACGTACAGTAAAATATTCCGTGCGCTAGCCCTAGCATACAAAGGCTATTCAGAAAGTACGTAGACTGAAGCTGTAACTTAAAAACCAATTTATGTAGATAGCTGTTCTTGGTCTCATTTTAAAGATCAACTCATTATCTATCGATTAAGATCAAGATCATCTCATTTGGTCAAAAATTGAGAAAGTTATGCAAGTTTAAACTTTGAAAGTAGGTTTTACCCCTACGGTTTTTATTGAAAGTTTTCGCTTGCCAAAAGTTGTCACTTGACATACGTTTTGATACATCATTCTACCAGAAACACTTGGCCGTAGGGGTAAAACCTACTTTCAAAGTTTGAACTTGCATAACTTTCTCAATTTTTGACCAAATGAGTTGATCTTGGTCTCAATTGATAGATAATGAGTTGATCTTTAAAATAAAACCAAGAACAGCTATCTACATACATTGGTTTTTAAGTTACAGCTTCAGTCTACGTACTTTTTGAACAGCCTTTGTATTTAGATTGCGTTTCGCAGTTAGGAGGCATACTATTTCTGGCTCATCCATATAAGCACTTAACTGCAAGCTGAAACTAATGGCAAATACGTTGCACTTATACGTCCATTTTGCAAAATCCAGCGATTCCACCAGGGGTGCTCTTGGGGTGCAAGATGTAGCCAAGTGGACCAGTATTAGGAGAAGGATATGGTTGGAGCACGTTGACCGAGTGGATGAAGAGAGACCAGCGAAAATTTGTATGACCGGACAACCCTCTGGGAAATAATTACCTGGACGACCGCCTAAGAGGTGGGCACAAAGCTGGCTCTCTCCTCTAGAGGATGATTGAAGATTTTATTGCTGTTTTTATTGCTTTGACGAGTCTTTTACTTTTAATGATTTTTATATGTTTAGTACATATCGACGGTGTAAATACACCGAGATTTTTTCTTCAGTGAATGCATTTAAAAGCACCATTCTTGACCTATCATCGTTTCATACGCATACAATGGCGGAGCAGCGTAATGTGTCGTGCCGCAAGATGATATTTTAAAGCGGTATAAAACGCCTTCAATTTCGTATGATACCGCACCAGACGCATGAGCCCGATAAGTTGTATCCTCTCTCAGATCGGATTTTGTTGGGAGAAAATGAAGGGGAATTTAAAAGCTGAGACAATTTAGTTCCCAGTTTAGAGGTTCCATATTTTATTAATCTATGATGAGTGTAAAAAGGATGATATTTTGATTCACGGTGCAAAACAATACCAATGAATTTCACTTATCGACGGAAAACACCTCACGTTCAATACGCATACATTTGTTATTTTATATACTTCTTTCTTTTTTTCTCTTAAATTAGTCTCTAAATACTTAATTTACGGAAGAAGGAAGTTGCAGACGACTGCACGAGAGGAGCATCTTAGATATGACAGAGTCACTTACATGGTTTCTTAAAAAGACCAAGATGGTTACCTACCTATATTTTCGAGTGAAATATATTTCAGAGTAAGAAACAATCCAATGCCAAAGCTCAATTTTTTCTCCAGAAATCGAATAAAAAGTTAATTTGCCTCCCAGGCCAAATGTGAAAGAATAAGTAAGGATAATAGTAAGAAAAGAAAACAAATCCAAAATCATTATGTCTTGCATACTGTCGTACTAAGGAAGAACGTCTCACGAGCCTTGAGGCGCACGTTGCCATATTTCCTTAGTTTAAAAGCAAATTCGGTAGGAAAATCGGGGATATTTTTCCTTCAATTTGTAAGACAATTATGTTTTCAATTTAATCAAAAATATCGACGTAAGTCGGCAATCACATAACTCGTTTGCGGTGTCTGAAAATGTCCGCCTGTATGTCATTTTTTTGAAGGAGAACAATTGAAGTTTTTGCAGAATTTTCTTCGCATAGAGAAGAAAAATCATGGCAGTTTTAAAGAATTTCCGTTGAGTAGTTTTCCGTTTAAAAAATAAAGTATGACAGGAAGTCTGCGACGTCGCAAACCGAGTTATGTGATTGCCGACTTACACCGTCGGTATGTAATTTATTGTGCTCGATACTGGATCATCTGAAAAACAGGGTCGTGCCCTAGTCGTTTGTAGAGGAAGAAGATACTGTAAAATACAGTCCATGTGTACTTGGGCGTTTCTTTAGCGTACAGGTAGCAAAAATAATCCAGCCAGCCGTATTGGAAACCTACCCTCTTTGCCCCCTGTACATTTGCACTACATGCAATACTGATTAAACGAGATTGAGGAGACTATGGTGTGCACTTATGCTGCGCATGAAGTTATCCATTATGCTCCTCTTGTGCTGCCATCCTGAGGAAAAACACCGTATGAACATCCGATTGTTGCCTTTCCCTCAATGAAACATTAATTTTTGAGAAAATTTACGAATACTTTTCTTCGAAATTTTCAGATCCTATAGTTTAAATTGCGAAGGACACTCTTGGAAAAAATTGATAAAAAAAATAATCAAAAATTGCCCTGTACATTTGTAATTTTTCAACGGACACTTAGAAACGCCTGAAGGCTTGTTCGGCGTTTCTCCTCGGGACGGAAGTATGATGATGAGTCTGTTAATGTTGGAAGAAGAGACCAAAGGTGCATCACGAGTAGAGGGGTTTTGGGGGGGGGGGTCTAAAGTTTGGACTCCCCTCAGAGAAGAAAAATCCCCCTGTATAGAGGTTTCAACGATTTTTGGAAGAACTTCATCATTGAAAGAGTTTACATTAGCAATTTATCGTCTCGAGCCCTTCCTTCCTGTGTCGCCGTGAAAAAGTTCCAGCTACACCACTAGGATCAACTTGACTTTTATTCATTTATTTATTTAAGTTAACAGTAACGCAAAGATATGCAGGGTCACTTCGGACAATAACTCATTGACACTAGTCCTGCTGAGGATAACCCAGATAAGACAGAAATATTTAGCCAATATTTAAACAATATTGTTTGGATATTTATGCAAACATTGGGCCAATATTGGTTAAATATTGAGCCAATGTTAAAAGTGTACACCATATTTTCTTTTGGAATAAATACTGTGCCAATACTCTAAAATATTTTTATAATATTTTGGGTAAACATATTATTTTTAAAAATACTAAATAAAGATTCTTTAAATATTTTTTAAAAAAATAATTTTGATTAAAATATTATCAAAATATTGTCAGTATTGTGTAAATATTGCGACAATTCTGACAATATTTGCCCAATATTGTAAAAATATTATGTCTTATCTGGGAAACGCCGGTTGAACATTCAGGTGTTGCAAAATTTCCTTTGATAAAATACGGATTTATTGAGAGAGCTGTGAATATTTGTCTACAAATATTTTAAATAATTTTGTTTGCAATTAATTCTAAAATGTCTGAAAAATTGAAGGAAAAATATGCATAGACTTCTTCCAAAATAAATGTTTTTTCAGGGTAAAGTGCAACATTTGAATGTTCATACGGCGTTTTTCCTTAGCAAGGCAGAATAATATTACAGCAAAAATAACCAACCGAAAGATGACTATGTATAGATTCTGAGACCAACCCGTTCGTTCTTTTAATATGTATACCTACCTTAATTAGAAGTCATTATTTTATAAAAGGATACATGTAGTACGGTTTTCTAATAATAGTGTTAATCTAAAAATTATCTAGGAGGCCCTGATTTATCAGATAACTGCCCTTGAGCTCCAATTGACACCACTTCACAGACAAGTAAATCAGTCACTCTCACACCTGAAGACGATACAATTCTTCATCAACAGCCAAGCTTCTTCAATCGCACAAAAGGTAAGCCACACAACGAAAATTCTCACTCCACCAAGCGCAAACTTCCGAAGAAATAATCCAATTTGTAAAAGCGAAAGGATCCCGACATAAAATTTTAAGTATTTGACTTCAGTACGGTGGCTATCACTCGGCTTTTGCCTGTGCTTTGAATGGTATTCTAGAATCCACGCACTGCTTGGTTAAAAATGAAAAAAGTTAACTTGAGTGTTTGAATCCAAATGTTCCATCCAGAGAGCTATCCTGCCGTGCTAATGAAGAACGCCGTATGAACATTCGAGAGTTGCCAAATTTTCTCCGATAAAGTGTTTCTTTCAGAAGAAAGTAAGGATTTTTTTTACTCGAAATTTTCACCTACTTTAGGCGAAATTGCGAACAAAATTATCTGAAAAATTGCATGAAAAAGATTCATAAGTTTACCGAGGAATTGCGGTTTTATCAAAGGAAATTTGACAACGCCTAAAGGTTCATACGGCGTTTCTATTTGGTGCCATATTGCCTCCAACCCTCCATCAGGTGAAGTTATACTAGACAATTGATAATTATTTCGAAGTAATGGCCATTTAGTCAAAAACTACCCTGCTGCGGTCCCATCATTGAAACTACGTTGGCCCGACACGACAAGACAGAACCCTTTCTTCACCATGCAATACATCGCAATTCGATGTCTTATCGGGCTACTGTAAACTTTCAATAATCGTCCCGCAGAGCTGAAAAGGTTAAGCAAAAGGTGGCGAAGAACAGCGCCCAAAAATTTCGGATACTCACCAACTTCGTCGTAGGCCGTACGAGAAATTGGATTGTTGCAAACTTCAGCTGGGTAAATAATTAAAAAAAAAAAAAAAAAAAAAAAAAAAAAAAAACGAGGGAGAAACAATTTGAAAGGGGTTGAAAATAATTAAAGTCGTGCAATGGTTTGTTTTAATCTAATTACTTGACTCATCTTTTGCAGAAAAGCGCCAACTACGTCGACAGGATAAAATTCTATCTTTTACAATATCGCGAGAATGTCATGGAAAAAGCCTTCAACTCGGCAGCGGGGTGCTATCCAGTGTGGTATATTTTCAAGGCCATGCGCTCCCTGTTTTGTCAACACATGGTCGACACAGTGGTATGTTTGAGAGTTTATTCCATTCAACAGCATAGTTAGGATAACTTGTAGAGACAACTACAGGTGTACTGCTCTTCTGTTCTCGTGATCAAATGAATCGTTTGGCTCAAAAACGACTACAAAAATTTCAAAAATTCATTTTAACACAGAAAACTTTTTTTTAGGGTGGCGCGGGATGAGGGCTAGACGCAATATCAGCCAGTGGGGGTCTACTCGTATGAGCAGAAATTCTACTCACATCACTAGAATATTCTACTCATAAGAGTAGAAAAGTTCAACTTATACGAGTTCAATTATTTCATTTTTTCAGAAATGCTGCTTCTGACCAGGAGACACTGACGTAATATGTAAAGAGCCTCCCAAAATTTCGCCCCTTTTTCGGTATTCGATTCGACCATCGAACCAAGGTTTAAGTGGAAGCTTATAATAACAGGAAACTCAAGAAAAAATTCCAAGATGAGTATAGGAACCGTTTTCGAGTTATGGGGGGCCCTCCGAACCGGTTTCTACGTATTTTTACACTCAAAATCAAGTTTTAATGTTGACGAGTCGATTTATCGACTATTGAAGTCTGCGACGTTGCGAACGTTTATGTGATTGCCGACTTACACCGTCGAAATACATTTTATTCTTAAGATTTTTTTGATGCGGTGACTAGTTCTTGAGATATCGGACACCGTAGATTCAACGCTGAACTCATGGGCGAGTTGAAATCTCCAGTCATATGAGTTGGAATCTCTAGTCATAGAAGTTGGCGAAAACTGGATAGAGAAATTCTGCTCATGTGAGTTAAATTCTATTCATATGAATTGAAATTCTATTCATAAGACTTTGATTTTCTACTCATTTGTTCTCACCATTTTCAGCGGGGTATTTTCAGCGGCTCTCTGACCTGTTGCCACATATAAAGGCGAGGCAAAAAATACTTGTATTACGCCCGTTTAAGTTTCGGACATTTTAGGTTTTGCACATTTTGGGTTTTGGACGTTTTAAATTTTGGCCATTTCAGCTTCTGGACATTTTGTCGTGGACATTATGACAATTGGACATTTTAACCAGGACATTTTGTCTCTTGGACGTTTTCCGTTGGACATTTCCACTGAGCACCATTTTTGAGCGCAAAGTTTGATGAGATTTTTTTATTTATTAATTTTTTACAGAATCTGTTTTGGATATCGCTAGCGTGGTGTCTAGGGATCATTCTAGCCGCCACGCCAATTTGCCTGAAGCTGGCCGAGCGCTACGCTCAGAACGAAGAGGATATCGTTCGACCGATTCAGCCTCCGCCGTACTGCTCTAATCATGGGTAACACCTTGTCTCACCTAGAGTCCCTTTATACTGAGAGTCAAGACAATTTGAATCCATTTCTGATTGGTTCCCGTATTTTAGGCCTCCACAGTGTCACAAACGGGAATAAAGATTACATTTTCACCAATTGCAAAGATTATAATCTGGAATGGACCAGGGAATTACGGGTTCGGCAAGGAACAAACGGAATGAGAGGAGGAACGGAGAAAGGCATTTGAGAATGGGCGGATCAAAGATTACGAAAAACGTTCAATTTCTGTAATCTTTATTCCCGTTTGTGACATCCATGAGCCGAATTGTCTTGACTCTCAGTATAAAGGGACTCTAGTCTCACCTTGCTTGACGCTCGTTCTATTATTTTTTCAGCATGCATATTGACTGCCAAAGTGGAAAACCATGTATCTCCGCTGCGGTGTTTCAAAATTTTCCCTCCTATTTTTTTCAAAAAGAAACAAACCAGCTTTAAAGCCTAAAATTTATACAAAATATTCTGTTAGCAGAGTAGAAAAATCAAGGAAATTTCCTTGATTAGGTTTCCAAAGAAAAATAAAGAATGACAGGAAGTCTACATCGCAAACGGAGATATGTGGCGTTGCTCTTCAGCCATTCGTATTCTGCTGTGTTAAGGAAAAATACCGTATATGATTATTAGGACGTCCGAATATAGATACCGCACAATACAGTGTCTCATATTTGAATGCATTTATGCCAAAAGGAACTATATTACACACAAACCCTATGCACATATAGTTCTTTTAATATAAGTACGTCCATTTTTGATAAAACTCGAGTTTGTTAGGAAACCAATTAATGATTTTTAAATGTTAATTTTCTGGGGAATTTCATAAAACATCTGACCCATTGTTTCTGAAATTTTCATGGGGGGCCATCCATAAATGGACGTATTTCTGTCAAACGGACCTAAGCGCCGTAGGTTGAGGAAGGCAGAGGGGAGCTTGGATTGGCGGCGGAACCGGGCGTCGGGATCATTCCGTCCTGTTCTCTCAATGCTTTTCCATGGCGCTTAGTTCCGTTTGACAGAACGCGCTATCCGGCATTCTAAATTCCTCAAAAGGAACTCAACTTGGCGCTTAGTTCCATTTGACAGAAATACGTCCAAATTACGTGAGGCACTTAGAGGGGAGGAAAGTCTCTATCAGCCCCACGGTGCCTTGCGAGGGGAGAAGGGGGGTAGGGCCAAGAAGCTTTACAGCCTACATTTAAAGCAAAAGCAAACATCCATTTTTTGTTGGGTTGACAACGAAATTCAGGATAAAATAGAAAAAATCAGCACATCACCGATTGCTGACCAATCGGACCATCCTTTTTTGTCATCTCTCTTGATTCCCACCGCTCCACTCCATGGGATGATCGATGAGTAGTGACTTCATCCTAGTGTCAACTTTATACTTTAAACTATTCCGAAGACGTAAAAAATCTTCAATTTTGCTCCACGTATATTTTTGTTTATTAAATTAATTGTATCACTAATATTTCCTATGATCTTACTTCTAAAATTCAGTTTCACTAATAAAAAATGTTGGCCTAAAAAGTTCATTGTTTCTCTAAAAGAAAACGTATTACTTAGATCTGCGATAATTGAAAAAAAGGAAGGGGGGGGGGGG